CATTTTTCTCTATACTTCTGTATTTTTTTTTAGTTTAGTTTTTTTCTGTTTGGACAAGACTCTAAGAAGGTAGTAGACTACAAAGGTTATTCTAGTTACTGGGCTAGCTATTATACTATCTTATTAGTATAGCTAATTACATATAGACACTTGAATAACTTAGTTATATTGCAGCAGCCGCATAATATCAGACTACAGATTTTATTGTTATATATTTTTGGTAGTAACAAAGCTTTAATAAATATAGGTTTATAGCATAATTAGCCAAAGTTGCAAAAAAATAATAATAAACTAATAAAATAAAACTGTTTTATAACAATATATATATTAAGTAAAGAAATAGTAGAGCTTTTGCTGTAATTAAATTTAAGACAAGAATAGAAGTTAAAGATATACTTTGAGTTCTTTAATAGATAATAGAAAAATAGCTTATGCTTTATTAAAAAAAGAAAACTATTAGAAAAAGGATCAAAGATATAAATTCATAACAAAACTAACTGGTATACAGAAGGTTTGGCAAAAACTTTACTTCTTAAATATCTAAGGAATAGAAAAGTAAAGGCATTTTATATTTCTAAAAGAAGGAGTAAATTTATAAAACAAACTGCAAAAATGACTTTTATCACTAATCTAGAAATGAATAAAGCACAAAGAAAGTCAGTGAGATATTACAACTTATATCTTCATTAGATACAAACCAAACAATAGAAGATCACAAAAGAAAAGGTTGTGTTAAACAGATAAAAGCAACAGAATAATAGTATAAAAAAGAAAAAAACAAGTAACAAAAAGGAAGATTTCTTAAGAAGAAGAAGATTTATTAAAAAGATATTACTACAAAAAGAAAAACAAACTTCAAACAGAAGTAATAGTATTACAGGTTTTGTATACTAATTTTGTATACCTCTATTAATAATGTATCTACCTCAAGTAATAAATATCAATTAGTAATATTTAAAAGTATAGGGTTGTATAAAATTGGTATTCGAAATCTGTAAAAAAATAAAAGAAGATGAAGAAATATAAGAATAAATTCTAATAAATTAAGAAAAACAAGAAATTTAAGGCAAAAAGTATATTTCAAAGAAAGAGGATTAGCAGCAAGAATAGATAAATACTATTTGATACTGCAAGAAATTATATAATACACTTGACTCTTGTTAATATCAACCCATTTGGATTGGGCAATTATGTTGATATATGTGAGGATTGATAATATCAGGATAGTTTTAATATACCCTGAGTCTATTTCATCTTAATTAGAGGTTGATATTAAAGGGAGGTTGATATTAGTGAGGTTGATATTAACGGGGGTCAAGTGTATTTGAAAAACTAAGTAGATAGCCTCTAGCTTCTTAATACTTCTAAAACTAGGAATACTAATTAAATTAAAAAAATACAGGAGAACTCTTTTCATCAATCACTTACACCAAACCAAACCTAAAAAACAACAAGACAAAAATAACTACAACTTCTTAAATTATTAAGAAAACTTACTTTGATGCTCTAAGTAAACTTGTCTAGCTACTCACTTTATATATATTACTAAAGTTTTATAACTTTTTTTTTGAATCTTAAGGTGAGGCCATGCCTCTAACTTTATTAAAACTCAATTGAAACTCTTTATAAGCAAATTTACAAGAAAGAAATTACATATGACTTTTATATCCTAAGGATGTCAAGAATAGAGACTCAGACAAAATTTTCTGCGGCCTAAATTTAAAGTTTTATAACTTCAGTTTACAAACTTGTCAAAAACTTTTAAAAAAAAATAAAAAATCTACAAACTCAAAGTTTTCTTGAATTATACTAAGAAAACCATTTACACTCCTTAATACAAACTTACTCAGCTCCTTCATATGAACATTTTAATATAAAATATACTACAAATAAACTAAAATCTACTTAACTATAACCAAAACTTCTTTAACTATTCTTTTATCATTTACTTAAACATTTATTAAGCAAACCTTAATTCTTACTTAAGACAAATTTGTTCTACTTATCAAGATGAATATTTTAATATATAATTCATTACAAACAGATTAAAATTGACAATTTTATATCAAAAAAGACTTTAAATTCTCTTGTTAAAAAATGTTTTCTTGTTCTAAAAATTTATTGGCAATTTTTCTGAAAATTTACTAGCTTGCCCCAGGAAATTCACTTTTTTTCACTTATTAGAATTTCCAAAGACCCAACAAATCTCAAAATTTTATTTACTAAATTTGAAAAACTTACTAGATATTTCTGGAAAACTTACTGATTATTTGAAATTTTACTGGTTTATATATTACTTAACAAAAATCAACTATATCTCAAAATCATACTAAGTAAACCTCACTAGACCCTTAATTGAAATTTGTTTCTGAGACAAAAATACACATAATATCAAAATATTAGATCTATACTATTTAAACTCACCAAGAAAATTAATAAAAAGTTACAAATTTTCTTTTCAATATCTATAAGTTTTCTAATGAAAATTGATTATATCTCAAAATTTTATTAAGCAAATCTTATCTAATCTCTTAATTGAATTTGTTCCTGATATTATAATACAAATTGTTCTAAAATATCAGATCTGTATCTTTTAAACTCGCAGAGAAAATCAACAAAAAGTCTCATATAACCTAAATTAATTCTCAAACTTATATAACAAAAATTATATTATAACTTGAAAATTAATTTAGAAAACCTGCTTTGGTGTCTAAACAAACTTGTTTCTTGAATACTTATACACATATTTTAAAATTTTTAAACCTTATACTTCAATATTCACCAACCAAACTAACAAAATATCCAGAATATTTACTTATTAAATTTATTTAATATGTCTCAAACAAACACATTTCAATGCCAATTTCCTCATCATTAACCTACCTATCAGTCTTCTAATAATGAATCTCTCAATATGAATCATAACTAGTTTAAGCATTTCTCTGTTCCAACATCAAATGGTCTTTTTCTATTTAACCAACTAACAATTCAAACAATAAGCTTTTTAAAACCTTTTCTTAAAGACTTTTATCCTGGTTCAATTATTCAATATGCAACAACTGATATACCAGCTCTTAAAAACAACTTCAATCTTTTACTCCATACAATGGCTCTTCAAACACCTAAATTTCTTATTGATATTATTTTAAAATCACATCCTCATATCACTCAACCTATAAACATTCCTACTAATTTTATTTGTGAAGCTCTTAAAAAGCTACTATTAGTATTTACTCTCTTTCAACACTCTAACTATTTAAAAATATTTTTTCCTATTTTTTTATTCCTCCTTACTCTATTAAAAAATGATTCCAAATTATTATTAATTTCTATAATACTCCTAAATTTCATATTAATATTACTATCAATATACCCTTACAACAATTCTTAACAACATATCATATTCCTTCCTTTTTTCTATTTTTAACAGAATTCAATAAGTAGTTTCAAAAATTTTTTAATCACTATAAAAAACAATTTAACACTATTAATAAATAAAAAGTCTATAATTATATCAAATTTCAAATAGTAACAACAATTAATAATGAATATAAAAAACTTATTTCTAAGGAATTTTAGCCCTCTACTATTCTATCTATTCATAACTATACAAATACCACTATTAAAACTGCATTACACCACATACATATATGTACAAATCCAACTAAATATACAATCCTCATACCAAATACTATTTACAACCTTCGTAATTTAACTACTCATTTTTTTAAACATTCTCTTCAAATCTCATCTGCTTCTAAAATTATTTATCCAACCTTAGATAATTCTATCTTTTTGTCTATCAACTTCATACTGCTACTTTTTCTACTGCCTTTTTCTTCTAAGATCTTTACAACTTCGCTAATTAAGCAGAAGAAAAATTAATTACACTTAACCAAAAACTTATTAAATTCAATAAGTCAAAACTTTTTGAAACAAACCTTCAAACTTTAAGCTCTAAACAAACATCATTTTTCTTTTACAACTATCTTAAAGCATATTTAAAAATTATATCAACCAATGAACAAGTCACAGATCTTAATCTTAAAGATATACTTAACAAACTTTCCTTTAAATTTACAGACTCACAAATCTTGGCCAGAGTTATTGCCTACTACGATCTTACTCAAATTTCTAAACCAACTATTACAATCTTTAAAAAAAATCTAAAGAAATTATATATCAATAAAGCAAATCAATATCTTATTAAAAAACTTAAAATTTCAATTCTGACTATATTCTATACAGACTTTATTACTACAAATTCCAATACTCAACAACAACAACCTCAACTACAACAACATCTTATTGACTCTGCTATAATAACTAAACCTTCCAAAATTAATAAACAACAACTCCTCTCTAACAACTCTTCTGCAAAATGGAAAATTCTTGCTACAAAATCTAATAATTTACAACAACTATCTAATAACAACAAAACTTCACTAATACTACTACAAAAACCAGAACTTTCAAAATTAATAAACAACAACTCTTCTTTAACAATACTACTATTAAATAAAAAATTCCTAAAATTGATGATAGCCTTTTCTTTTAATCAACTTATATCCCAATTTATTAATTATATATTCTTACAAATTCTATTATTTTTTACTTTTATATTTCATAACTTTATACAATTAAATACACTATACACTCTATATAATAGTTCTTTTATATAAAACTCTATATAGCTAATTACTTTTCTTATACCTTATAATATTATTCTATTAAATATACAAATTACCCTATAGTTTATTTTTATCCTTAAATTCACTTAATTAAATACTCTATTTACTTTTCATTTACTCTCTTCTTTTCACATTGCTTAAAGAAGTTTTAACTAAACCAACTATAATATCATAATATATACCTTAGGTTTTCTCTAACCTATTCTAGCAAATCAATTAATGACAATAATTGATTGTACTATATCGACTTCTGTTTCTTTGATTCATTATTTTTTAACTTCATTGTATGTAAATATCTACAGAAAATTCTTAAATCATTAGTATCAAAATTAGCACATTTATTTGTTGTTCAAAAAATGCAATAAAAGTTTTTAACCCATTTAACCCTTCTAAAATTGAAACTTGTACTGACTCTTTATCAGTATCATCAGGATCATCTTGTTCTTGTTCATTCTGTTCCAAAATAATTTTCACAATTTGCTCATCATCAAGCTTCTCATTCGTAGATACATATCTATTATTAATCTTCAAAAATTTTTTAAAATCTTGTTCAACAAATAAATCCATATTTTGAATAGTAAAATCATAAACTAAGTTATCAACTTGATTTTCTTCTTGCTTAATAGACTCTTGATATACATCATTCTCAATTTCATTAGCAGATACCGAAGACAAGATGCTGGTTTTTCTCTAACAATTTAATATTGTTGCTTGATCTACCTCATTCCACGATCTTGATATATAATCGATAGCATCTTTGATACTCAATTTTTGTTTAAATAAAAAATAGTGTTCAAAAAAAAATCAATTAATGCTTTTGCAAAGCATTTTACAATATTTCTTTTCTAAAAATTAGCTTAAACATTCTCAAAAAATTATGCTAAGACTATATATATGCCAGCATTTTATGAACAATTAAGTTTAATTCCAATATCTGTAATCTTTGATTGCTTATAGTTAATCTTGTTAAAGAATTGAAATGACAGCCTTTCATTTGAGATTTTCCAGAGAATTATCTATTCAGATAATTTATATCCGTCTGAAGATTTTTAATAATAAACGATTGCCTTATTTTCGTATTTCCAGTTCCAATTCTATATTCATAATGATAAACAAGTTGGGTATTTTATATCTAAAGATATTAATAACCTAATTATAATCTATCTTGCTGATCTATATTATATTGATAATCAAACCAACATTTTATACATATAATTCATTCATACCTGCAGATTTTTAATAATAAATGAATGCTTATTTCATCCTTTTGGCTCCAATTCCATCTTCATATCAATAACCAAGCCAAAGTTTTTGTCAACACCTGTAAATTAAAATAATGAGTGAATATCTTTTTATTTTCTTTGACACTAATCCATGCTCATATTGATAAAAAACCGAATTATTCTGTTCATACTATTTATTTCTTATTCTTATTGACTCTAATTCCTTTTATATCGATAAACTAGCCAGAGTATTTTATCCATATCATTCATATCTAAAGAACTAAATGCTTTATTATAATCTATCCTATCAATTCTATAATATCAATAACAAAACTAACATATGATTCATACCTAAAGATTTTTGATAATGAATGAGTGCTTTTGGCTCTGATTCTATCTTCATATCAATAACCAAGCCAGATGGTTCATCAAATAGTTTTTATCTGTAGTTTTAATAATAAATGAATGTCTTATTTCTATCTTTTTGGCTTTAATTCTATATTATTGTTATTAATAAACCCAGATTATTTCGTTCATACTATTTATATCTGCAGATTTTTCATCCTTATTAACTTCAATTCTGTATTCGTATCGATAAGCAAGCCAAGTATTTAATTCATATTATTCATATCTATATGAAATGAATACCTTGTTATAGTGATAAAAAAACTAATCTATATGTTTTATATCTGCAGATTTTTAGCAACGTATAAATGCTTATTTTCATTCTTCAGCTTCAATTCCATCTTCATATCAATAACCAAGCTGGAATATTTCATCAGACCATTTATATTTGCAGATTTTAATAATAAGTGAATACCTTATTTCTATCTTTTCTGTCTAATTCCATAATCATATTGATAACAAAACCAAATCATTCCATCCGTATATTCATACCTGTATATTTTTGATAATAAATAAATGACTTATTTTCATCCTTATTAATTGCTATTCCATATTTATATCTATAAACATCTAAAGTATTCATAATGGAGATTTCTGATAACGAATAAATGCCTTATTTTCATTGTCTTTAATCACAGGCTCATCCATAATAACAAAAGATACATATCTACAGATATTCAATAATAATTGAATGCCAATTCTATTAGCAACAAAAAAATCTAGCCAGAATATCTTATCGTATCACAATACATACAGATTTTTAATAATAAATAGCTGTCCTATTTCATTCTTTGTAATTCCCATTATATATTCAAGCAAAAGATTCTATATGCCTATAAATTTCAACAATGAGTTAATATCAATTTTAATAACCAAGTCAAAGAAAGATTTATTTTGCATATTCATACCTGAAGATTTTGATAATAAATGAGTGTCTTATTTTCATCTTAACTCATTCCATCTATAGCAATAATTAAGTTTGAATTTTTCTAGATCATTTACGCCTCAGATTCGTATAATAATTAAATGTTTTTTGTTTTTTTTAACAATGTCAAGCAATGTATTTAATGCCATAATTCATTTTTTTTAACTTTAGTTCAATTGTATTAACACTGAATGGCTGCTTTTTATCTGTAGAACTTCAGAGTAGAGAACCAAAGATTATGCTGTTTACAAGAGTTGCCTTGTAAGCATTTTTTTATACTTTTTTTACAACAAACTATCACCTCCAACAGATTCTATCCATCCTTAGCAGTAACTATACTACATTTATATTAGAATCCAATATTATGTTGACTCTAAAAATCAGTCACTCAATGTCTTTGTTTTATCCTTAGTAGTGTCTATAAACAGTTTTACATTATTCGCATAAATAATTAGCTGCTTTTTGGTTCTAATTTTGTATTTGCAACTTCTTTATACTTTCTAATTAAATATTATTCTATCCCAACTAATAAAGTATAACTATAACTCATTAATATGACTTAAAATTTACTTACTCTTTAATATCATCTCCATTTTCAAATTGATCTAATAAATGGCAAATATATTTTTGCTTATATTTTGCCTTAAAATACTGAATAATTCCTGCGTCCATAGGTTGAAGATGTGAGGTAGTATAAGGGGGAGAAATTTGATTCTAATATTGGTAAAGCGAAGTTTAGAAGGATCTGGAAGTTTATATACACTCTTGCAAGTTTTGCCACATTTTCCCAGACTACTTCTTGCTCTCTTATTACTCCGTGCACTATCTTGCTGATTGGTAGATTCTTCATCATCAGATGTATCTTGTGCATTACTTAGTATATTGGCTGTTGTTTTATTTGGATCAAAGTGACATGCGGCACCATCTATTAATAGTAAAATTTGGTGATTTTCAAGACAGAATTTTTTATTCAAAGTTTCTAGCCATTCGCCAAATATATTACTATGCATCTAAGCATTTTCATTTGAACGATATGTAACTGGTAATGTTTGATGATTAATACTAACTAAAGCTCATGGCTCAATACTAGATCCGATTACAAGTGGTTGCAACTTATCAGTTCCAATAGCATTAGAAGCTAATAATATTGTGATACGTGTGCAGTCCTATAAGTTTAAATTTTTTTAGCCTTTTTTTTGTTTTTTTTTAAAAAAAAAAAAAAAAAAAAATTTACATACTTTTTTCCAACCAGAATGTGGTTTAGATGCTAATGTTTGATGTAGTGCCAAGTGGTAAAATAAACCAGTTTCATCTACATTATATACATTATCTAATATATATTCTTGAATAATTTCTTGTAATTCTAGCTGAAACTCTGGAAGCGATTCAATTGGTGCACTCTTTGCTTCACCATATAACCGAAAATTTTGCAAATGATTTTGTTTTTTAAATTTATCAATCCAACCATTAGAAAACTTTAATGCATCTTCAGGTAATGAAAGAGCATGAGCAAAATAGATGGCTTTTTCTTTAATTATTGCCTCAGTTAAAAACAATCCTTCATGAATAACACTTTCAACCTATAATTGCATAGCACGATCTAATTGTAGAAATTTTGTTTTTTTTATACTTAAAAACTGTATTAGAAATTTCTGCTTCTGTTTTAGCTAGCCATTGATCTTTGTCTTTTAATATTTTAGAAATAGTAGAACGATTAAGATTTCTTTTTGAATCTTGAGTATTAATATGTGTAGCAATTTGTGTTTGCATATAAGTAGGATACTTTAGATTGTATTTACAAATTTCATATTTTAAACTTTCACTGATTGCAGTGCATATTCTTTTTGTATGTTGAATACACATCATGTATAAGATTAAAGTTAGTATCACAATTTCTATAGTTATATTAAAGTTTGAAATTAAAATTTAAAATCAGTTATTTTACATGATAAAACTGGTTTGTTAATCAGTTTAATTGTAGAAAAATTAAAATTGGTTTTAAATTATATAGTTTAATAGCTGTGTGATTATATAGAAGTATTTTATTATATAAAAAAATTATTTTGATAATAAAGTTAGTAATAGTGATTATAAGCTTATTGTGCTTATATAAAGGGATTTTATTAAATAAATATTTTGTTTTATAAAAATTTGTGATTATATAGAAGGTGTGATTATATAGAAGGTGATTATATAGAGGGATGATTGTATTAAAACTATAATTCTGACATCCTATAGCTGCTCTAA